TGCAGTGTGTAAACTTCCCATTCATCACCTACCTCTTTGACTCGAAGGAGCTGTGCTTGCTCAATCTTGGAGAGGACAGCTTGTACTGCTAATGGGGTTTTAAGCTCAGGGACCACAGGAATATCAAGAATATTTCTGGATGTTCTTTTCCATTTTTTTGAGATGATGGTTTCCTGGGTTTCATTTTCTGAGTCGGAGTCACTGCTGGTCTTTGTTAACATTTTGGAAAACATTTTAAAATAATAGGTGATTTGCTTTTATTTCTTTTTTTTTTTTCATAGAATATTGGCAAATAAATGCTAATAAAAATGTCCACTAGGAAGCTAGAAGGCTGCTCCTAGAGGTTGCGGCTTACTGTTATTAACTAGCTGTTAACCAACCATGGTATTCTAGTTGTGGTGATGTCATAATATACCCATTATGATATCATTGACTTGAACATTTAAAGAGTGCTTACTCTATTCAGAGAAGTAGGCATTCCATATGCTGTGATGGTAGAAGGGTGAAGGGGGGAGGGAGGGCAGGAAAGAATTGAGGACAAAGACTAAGAGAAATAGAAGACAGCACTGCTTAAATGAACTTAAAATCTAGCTGTTAGAATTCAAGATCCAGTGTTTTAAATGTAACTGTTCTCTCTTCCTGGGATTTTGCTGAAATATTTTTAAGCCTGTAAAGGAATAGTGTGTTATCACTCCTCAGTGGTCCCTTAACTTTTCCTAGATGTGTAGTAACTTGGAAGATATTTGGATGAATATCACACTCTTTCCACTGCCTATTTGTCTTTTCAAGGACCTGACTGAAGAAGGATTTGAAGTTCCATAGTTGGCTCAAAAATTTGAAGAGAAAACTAGAGGCTGCTTTCTACCTGGGAAGTGTGCTTTGGGCAGCTCTGACTGTAGAGATGATGAACAGGTTTAGGAGACTGGAGCAATTAAAGGACAGGGTGGTTTTGTTAGTCGTGTAGCTTCATTTTTTAATTTAAAAAATATGACAGAAAATAATATAGGTGTGCTCAGTACGAACAATGAACAAATATTAACATTTTATCCTATTTGCTTCAGATTTTCTTTTTAGTTTTTCTTTTTTAAAATTTTTTGTTTCTCTCTCTCTCTGGTTGTACTGGGGGTTGAACTCAGGGCCTCATGCTTGTTAGGCAGGTGCTCTTACTGCTTGAGCCACCCACCAACACTTTTCTCTTCTTTTGGGACAGGTTCTTGCTAGGTAGCCCAGGCTGGCCTTGTACTCAATATCCTCTGGCCTCCTCATGTGCTGTGCATCACCATGCCTGGGCAGATAGTGTTAAATAAAGGAAAGCCTTAGAGACAAATTGACATCCCCTGGGCTGTACTCCCCAGATCCTTTCTCTATCCCATTCCAGAGGCCATGACAATCATGAATTTGATGGGCTTGTGCCTAGTCTATCTTTATCTAGTTTTACTGTAGGTATTGGAATTCATAAACTATATAGCATCATCTTACATGTTTTAAATTTTATACAAATTGTGGCTATATAATTTAATTTCTCTACAAGAACTTCCTCTGTTGGAACCTTACTATAAAATTAGTCCTATAATGAGTCCTTGTAAAATTTATGTAGAACACAACTTAGGTGTTTTAGTCCTTTAGAAAAATGGAGGTAGGGAATCATAAAGTAGTTGTCTTTTAAAGATAATATAGAGAGAGCAAATTTAATGTTTTCCTTTCTCTTTAAGATCTCATTGTCTAAGTGATTCCTTCCTTGATATTCCCAAGTCACTTTGTAAACTTATTTGTTTTTCTCACATTTGTCATATTATTTATCAGTTCTTCTTGAGATATTGACTAAAATGTGGAAATCTATTATTAGTTTCACAATCTCTCCTTTTTTGGCAGTACTGGACTTTGAATTCAGGGCATCATGCTTGCTTATGCAGGCATTCTATAACTTGAGCCACTCCACCAGCCATTTGTTGATGGATATTTTTTTTTTTTCAGCACTGGGGTTTGAACCCAGGGCCTCAAGCTTGCTAGGCAAGCACTCTACCACCTGAGCCAATCCACCAGTGGTATTTTTGAGATAGGATCTCACAAACTATTTCCTTAAGCTGGCTTTGAACCACAATTCTCCTGATCTCTGCTTCCTGAATAGCTAGGATTACAGGCATGAGTCACTAGTGCCCAGCTAGTTTCAGAATTTCTCCTTAATGGAAACTTTCATAAGCTCGGGAATACTTTTTTGAGTGGTTAGACCAATTCTACCCCACCTTACTCCCACTCCCACTCTCTGCAGTCATAAATCTCCTCCCCTTTCCTATAAATCACAACTAAGTCTATTTACTCAGATTCGTAATAGTTTCTGAAAGTACCACAACTAAGGAAATTATTTTTATAAATGTGAGCTTTGATTAAAATAGCCATCATTATCCAGCATTTTTGACATTATCAATTCACTTCCAAGTACTTTTGTTGATATTAGATTGAAAGTCTTGCATAACTTTTATTGTTTTCATTGTTTTCTCTAGCAGCCATTTGCAAAGCAACTAAATGTTTGCAGACTAAGCTAATTTAGCATTATTTATCCTCTCTCTCTCTCTCTCTCTCATTTTTCAAGCAGCATGGATTCATCATGGACTGGAAATGAAGGCTTTTTAAAGCAAGTTTTTTAAATTCTTCCCTTTCATTTCAATAAGCAATTGTTGAGACACTACTGTGCAGTTACCAATCCTAAACTGAGGAGAACATATGCTAGGGTTCCTATCAAGAAGCTTAAAAAAGGAAAGAAAATAATTTAAGATTGAATATAATGATCGAGTGCTAACGAGAAATGAAGAAGAGATGTGTGGGGAGCAGAGTCTTTGGGAAAACGTTATGGAGAGAGATGGTTGACTAACAAATGAAGCCACTGCAGAGAGGGAAGATACCCTGAGCCATGGCTTTGGAGGTGAGTGCTAAAGAGTTGGCATTTTAGGGGTAAACTAAGGATGCAGTTATTCTTTATGCAGATCAATTTAGAGAAGGTCTAGGATACAATTATCAGCAACTTAATGGTAGAATGCATTTGGTATTAAAATGAGAAAGGCCTTTCCTTTACGATTATACTGGATCAGAATGGGTTTTGTTTTTGTTGTTGTTTTTTTTTTTTTTGTAGGCACTGAAGTTTGAATTTAGGGCCCCCCCACTTGCTACGCAGGCGTTCTACCACTTGAGTCACTCTACCAGCTCTGTTTTGTGTTCGGTATTTTCAAGATAGGGTCTCGGGGAAATATTTGCCCCAGGCTGTCTTTGAACTGCGAACCTTCTGATCTCAGCCTCCTGAGTACTAGGATTCCAGACATGAGGCACTGGCGCCTGGCTGGAGTTTTGGTTTAAATGAAACCTTCACTTTAGGAGGATTTTTAAAAAAACAATGGAATGGAAAAAAAAAATTCATTGGAAAAGATCAAGACAAAAAACTCTAGTAGCGTCCGGGCACCGGTGGTTCATGTCTGTAATCCTAGTTACTTAGGAGGTAGAGATCAGGAGCATCAGTGTTCAAAGCCAAAAGCGGCAATAGTTCGAGAGACCCTACCTCGAAAAAACCCAGAACAAAAAAGGTCTAGCGGAGTGGCTCAAGCGCCTGCCTAGCAAGAATAAGGGCCTGAGTTCAAACCCCAGTGCCACCAAAAAACAAAACAAAACAAAAGATCTTGTGGCTCATGCCTGTAATCCCAGCTACTTGAGAGGCCTCCATATGGAAAAATCGAGGTTTCCAGGGCAGCCCAGGCAAATAGTTCACATATGAGACCCCATTTCCAAAACAACCAGAGCAAAATGGACTGGAGGTGTGGCTCAAGGGCGCATGCTTCGCAAGCCGGAATCCCTGAGTTTAAACTCCACCCCAGTCCCACCAATAAAAAGAAAAAAAAAATCAAGATATGATTATTTCAAAAGACGAGTAGTTGAACTAGGGTTATGTGTAGTATTGACAAATGCGGAATACAAATGCGGAATAAATCTAGTAAAAAACCGAATTTTTTTTTTGTAAAAAGACAATTTTAAAAATTCTGTGTTTATTGGTATTTCATTTGAATATGGCAGAACACTAATGAAGAAGCTGTCTAGACTAAGTATTATTCATTTGCATTTTTATCAAGCGTAGAAGTGGAGTAGCATTATATTGATTCCAGCGAACTTAGAGCAAAGTTCTTCAAAGGTGTGTCAAGAAAACTCGTCCGTCCTAGAGCGCTCCTTCAACACTCAAATGGGAAAGATAAAAATTGCATAGGATTACTTTAAGATTAATTCACCAAAAATACTTAGTATATAGTGCTAAGCACATCGTAAGCACTTAATATACAGTAGCTGTACTAGTATTTTTACTACTAGTACAGATATATTTTCGGTACTTTTTTTTTTTCTTCGAGTCACTGCGTTTTCAGCAGGGCTGGGAGCCTAGTACACAAGAGCGGCTTTTAATCAAATCTAGACTGAACTATGAAAACTGTGGAAAAACTAAAGGCTGGGGTAGCTATCTGTTTGACAAGTGATAAAATGCGTCGATAAAATTTTTACACAACCCAGTGGCTCACGCCTGTTAATTCTAGCTTCTCAGGAGGCAGAGATTACGAGGATTCCGGGTCGAACCCAGCCCGAGCAAATAGTTTGCAAAACCCTATCAAAAAACCCTTCACAAAAATAGGGATGGTGGAGTGGCTCAAGGTGAAAGGCCTGAGTTCAAGCCCCACTACCGCAAAAATAAATAAATAAATAAGATTTACACAACCCAGTGGCACAAAATGGTACCTCCTCTTGATCGTCTGCCCCCACTCCAGACAGACGATAGTACATTCCACACCGCCGCTGGATAAGAAAGTGCTTAACTGGAGCGCGCCAAGGGCCACCTCTTCTCCCGGAAGTAATTTTGTCTAGAACCGGAAGCAGTTGCTGTTTCAAGGGAGGCGGGACTGGGCGGATCAGGTCGCAGCGGCTGACGGCGGGGGAGGAGTCGGGTCCACTGCCGGGTGGAGGGGCAAGGCTAGTGTCCTTATCCTAGCGATTGGGGCTCGGGCCTGTGAGCTAGTTGGAGTCGCGGCGGCGGGAACGATTGGGCCGAGTGGAAGAAGACATGTTGCTCTTCGTGGAGGTGAGTGGACTTGGTCATCTAGTCCTGCTCTGAGGAGAGCTGGAGCTTGGAGGCGCCGGCCGGTCCCACCGCCATGTGACTTTCCAGGCCGTACACCCGGCGGAACCGGCAGATAGGCTGACACAGCACCTGGGCCGTGCAGGCCTGCAGCTCCAGTCTGCGCGCTCCCAGCCCTTTAGGAAGCTGTCGGGGGGAGGCTGTAGGTGGGAGAGCACGGAAGGTTGGGTATGAGGGCTTGTCTGGTGTGGGGCGAGGATCAGAGGAAGGGGAAAGTGTCCCATATGGACGTACAGGAGTCAAACGGGCGGGCGGGGGGGGCGGAGTCTGTCGGAGAAAAGGGTAATCAGGTGGGCGCGTTCTCGGGGCGAAACGAGGCCTCGCGGGGCCCTCTGGGCGGGAGGCGAGCAACATGTGGGACCGTGGAGAAGGTGAAATGCGACTTAAGTGGGTCTTTTTTTTTTTTTTTTAAGTTTTTGGCTTAAGTGTTTTAAAAAGAAAACTCGAAGCTTTTTAGCAAGTTCTGTCAGATTTTTTAGGTCCCTTTCCTTGTATCTGGAAGGTTCTGTGGGTGAAAGCGAGTTGCTGTGAAGGCCAGAGGCAGCCAATGGGACTTGGAAGCCTTGAAAGGCACCGCTTTGACCTTTTGTAAAAGTTGCTCGGGCTGCGGCTGCGTGATGCGGGTTGATTCTGTGAACTGATTAAAACGCGCTCTACAAGGAAAATTCCAAGAATGAGAGAAACTTAGTCCGGGAAAAGCCGGATTTATTGTGTTATTTGAACAAAAGTCATATTTTTGTTACTTTAAGGTTTCAAGGTGGTGATACACGCCTTACACAGCACGAAGTTTTAGTTTTCTCCTTTCTGGCCTTCTGTTGTGTGCAGTGAGCATCAGCTGGCTGCCTGGCTAATGCTTTGAGTAGATTCCAGATCATACTGTTCTTACATTGTGAAAACGTCAAACCAGCAAAGCTGCAGCTTGGCAACTGAGCATTTGTTAACTATGCCCATAAAAAGAATCTTTTTCAATGAGGGAAGGAATTTACAGGTTGTATAGTGGGCTCGGGAGCTAGGGCCAGCCTTGGGAGAGGTGGAGGGTTCCCGTAATAATGAGATATAAAGTAAATTTATTTTATTTTACTTTAGTCTGATATTGTGTAGCTGGTAAATTGGATATCTGTAAGGGTTTTTGAAAAATAAAGATACTGCTACCTTAGAGTATAAGCAGTGTTAATAATAAACATTCATTGGAATTTTCCAAGCAAATCATTAAGAGGTTTAAAATTGGGCTGGCGGAATGACTCAAGAGCTACAGTGCCTGTCTAGCAAATGTGATGCCCTGAGTTCAAACTCCTGGGGAAAAAAGAAAGGTTTAAAATTACTGATCTCTTTTGTTGGTTTGTTTTGTTTTTTTGTACTGGGTTTTTGAACTCAGGCCCTTCACGGTGAGCCATTCCACCAGCCCTTTTTTTTGGTGGTGTGTTTTTTCGAGATAGGGTCGCGTGTACTATTTGCCCTGGTTGGCTTTGAACTTTGGTCCTCATGATTTCTGCCTCCTGTAGCTAGGTTTACAGGGCGTGAGCCACCAGCCCTCGGCCTGAGCTCATTTCTGAGTTTTTTGTTTTTTTGTTTGTTTTGTGTGTGCTGGGCCTTGCTCATGCTAGGCAAATACTGTACTACTGAGCTACACCCAGCTCTTGGTTTTTTTTTGAGACAGGATCTTCATAGGCACACATCAGACTGGCCTTGAACTCACTGTATAGCTCAGACTATCCTTGAACTGGCATCCTCCTGCTTCCTCTTCCTCCAAAGTGCTGAGATTGCAGATATTTTATTTATTTATTTTTTTGGTGGAACTGGGATTTGAGCTCTTTAAACTTGAACTCTTCAAGCAGGAGCACTGCTTCTTGAGCCACACCACCAGCCCTGGCTGTTCATTAAAAATCCACGTTTTCCTTCAACAGAATCAGAAATCAGATTTGATTTTAAGCAGGGCTAGGTTGTCTTAGAAAAGTTATATCACGCAAATACTGCAGGTTTTAAGAATGTGAAATTTGGCCTATATCATTGTTATTCACAGATGTCATAATCTAATGGTGTGCAGTGTGTTTACTTATCTATCTAATTTTGGCAGTACCCGGGTTTTGAGCTCTGTCTCATCCTTACTAGGTAGGTGCTCTACCAGTTGAGCCACACCTCCAGCCCTCAATTTATATCAATATTAATTTCAAAATAAGCTTTGGAATTGGGAATTGATTCCTTTGTCTTTATTAAAATGTGAACTTTAGTAATAGGCCACTTATTTAGTGTTTGAGCTAGGTACCTCTCCTGTCTCTAAAGAAGCTTTACAGTGTTTTACAGGGGAGGAAAAACAGACTGAGAGGTTAAGTAACTTAATAAAATTAAAGCAGTGGAAATGGCATTTAGATCTAGATCATTCTGATGTTAAATCAGCCTGTCTGCCCACTTTAGCCCAACTTTATCATAGTTTTAGTAAACTATTTTGTATATATAGTCAGTGTCCCCATTAATATTTCTTTATAAATCTTTTTTTGTTTTGCAGTACTGAGGTTTTAACTCAGGCCTACACCTTGAGTCACTCTACCAGCCCTTTGCTTTGTGTGTATGTGTGTGTGTGTTGGGTTTTTTTTTTTTTTTTTTTTGAGATAGGGTCTCTGGAACTCTTTCCCCTGGCTGGCTGCGAACCGCCATCCTCCTGGATTATAGACTTGGGCTACCATACCCAGTTTCATATAAAGTTTTATTGTAAATTAATTATGTCATTAAATAGGTCTGATTATACAATATTAAAGTCAGTCATTCGGCATTTTGTTAACTATTTTTGTGCTGTTGGCAGTCGAACTCACACTTGGCAAAGTATGCCACCACTGAACTACACCTGATGCCCTCCCTTATTGATTCTTATAACCTTATGATATAGAAGCCAAAGCTTAGAAGTTACATGTCTGCAGTCATTCGGGTGTAAATAATGTGGGGACTAAAGTCTGAAGTGTGCTTGTAGAAAATATATCTCTGGCTCCAAAACTTATTTTTCACTTCCCCCTAAGGCATGGATTCTTCATGTAGGTTGCTAGGTAGAATTGAAGAAGTATGTGAGCTTGTTTGAGGAAAAAACCTATCTATTTACTTTCCTTGGCATCTAACAGGATTCTGGATGGAAACAAATTGAAAGTTTAAATTTTAATGATGGCAATAGGGCCTGTGACTTTGTCACCAAAAGAAATCATGTTTTTTTAATTTAAAAGTTTTGCATATATTTTGAAATACTGTTTATGCTCATTATTCCTTGTTATGTTAGTAATCCTATTTAGTGCATTAGTAAGCACATTTATGACCATATTAGAAATTTAAAATATTTCGATAATTATATTTCAATCTAATTGGCTTACTTTGTGATTCTGTATATTTCACACAGTATTTAAAAAATGATCTGAAAGAAACTCATAGATAATTGGACTAAAGAGGTCTGTGGCACAAAAGAGGTTAAAAACCACTTTACTAAACCAAGGTGCTTGTGGATCATCGTTGCCAGGGTTAATCCAGGATCAGTAGTGTTCAGGATCTTTTTTCTCCAATGCATTTTTTTCTTTCTTTTTTTACTTTGTTTTTTCATTTTTGGCTGTATTGTGGTTCATTTTTGGCTGTATTGTGGTTTGAACTCAGGGCCTCATGTTTGATAGGTGCTTTACCATTTGAGCCACTCTTCCAGTCTTGTTTTCAAAATAGGGTCTTGAGAACTACTTGCTTGGGGCTGGCATCGAACCAAGATCCTCCTTATCTCTGTTTCTTGAGTAGCTAGGATTACAAACGTGAGCCACTAGTACCTGTCTTGAATTCATTTTTTCTGATGAGACCCCCAGCTAAAATAGTTTAGAATTGGAATCAGTGGAATAGATAATAGTACCAATAATTATTAGTATTTCTACTATGGACATACATGTGTATGGTGCTTAGTATGTGTCAGACAAATTAGGTGTTTTTGCATGTATGCATATTATTCAAGTCTTACAATATCTCTTTGAAGTACTGTTATCCTCATTTTAGAGATAAGGAAGCTAAGGCACTGAGAAATTAAATTAACTTTGAAACAGCAGTGTGTGTTCTTCACCTGAGTGGTGTTGTATTGTTTACACTTACGAGCACTGAAGAGACAGATTGCAGTTTTTTCATGTTCTTCATGGTTAATCTTCTGTTCATTTTTCATACCATGTTTCCCCTCTAGTATTTGTCCAAGATTATATAGCTAATGAATGTTGAAGCTGGAATTAGATTTTTTTTTTTTTGAGACAGTGTCTTGTTATGTAGCTCAAGCTGTCCTCAAACTTGGTCTCAGCCTCCAAGTGCTAGGGATTATAGATTTGAGCCCTGTGGATTTAGAACTCAGTCTATCTAGTTATATTGCAATAGATAGCTACAGGTAGACAAATACTTAGTTCAAGCCTTCTCTTATATACAAAGGACTATACTAGCTTCAGTAGTTTATCTTGGTTGTTTTTTGTTTGTTTTGTCACCCCTGTTCTGAAGGAGACAAACTGTCTATCAGGGACGATTTTTTAAAAAAAAGTTTGGAGTGAGGGGCCTGGCAGAGTGCCTGCCTAGCAAGTGCAAGGTCCTCAGTTCAAACTCTAGTACCACCAAAAAAAAAAGTTTGGGGTGGCATGTGCCTGCCATCCCTAGCTGTACTGGTTGCTGAGATTCGGAGGATCCTGGATAAGAAAGTTTGTGAGACCGCGTCTCAATGGAAAAAGCTAGGCACGGTGGTGCTAGCCCGTCATCTTTGCTGCTTCAGGCATCTTAAAATAGGAAGATTACAGGTCTACCCTATCCAAAATAATTAAAGCAAAAAGATAATTGGACTAAAGTAAAAAAAAAAAGTTTGGGTAATTTACAAATTTGTCAAAAATGACCTGATTTATATTCTATTACAAATTCCATTAGGTTTGAAACAGCAATGAGTGTCCTTCACCTAATTGCATGTTTTT